TTCTGGTTACTACCCTATGTTAAGTTTATGTACCCTGCCCCATCGCTGCTTGTAAAAATTTACTTTGTGTCACTAACTCTTTTTCCACCCAGTGACACATGAAATCTTCTGCACAAGGTTCATATAATCTGTAAACTTACAAAAATACAAATCTGTCAAGCGTATCAGCTTGGGGTGTAATGGCTGTCTATCTCCGTTTGTAATATAAACATGGAGCTCTTGCGTTGCTATGCAGTGTCTATGTACTAGTAAGTGTGTGGGCCCCATTCCGTTAGTCAGACAGGTGCGTGGAGCCCTGCCACGAGCCGGGCGGCAGGTGGGGAGGAGGATTTATAGATTTTAATCATATCACTGTTGAGCAATAATTTCAGCGCCTAGAGCAAGTTCAGGTCTGCAGCCTCAGTGTTTGAGATTGATGGATGCTACGCTGATCCCTGATTCCCTGACGATACTAACACTACCCATATGTAGTGTAAAACAATGAGACATCAAGGTCTGAAGACACGCTGAACAATTACAGAAGTCTTTAAGTCTTAAGTTTTCAATTAATCAGAGATGAGATTGAATTAATAGTGAATAAGAAGCTATTACTTTTCCTGGAATGTTCCACACTATGGCATTAAACTTCCGTGGTGTCAGGCAGGTGGACAAGATACAGGTTAGATCTGAGCAGCACTGACCAGGGGCGTAACCACAAAAGAATAAAGGTTTTTCAATATATTTTTGGGCCCTAAAAAGATAATGGAATATACATACTGTGGAACATTCCAGGCAAAGCAATAAAAATACACATAGTGCACCTTGAAATATGTTTTATTTTCTTGTTCTGTTTTATCCTGTTTATAGATACTAATTTCATCTACTTAGATTTTATAAGTAGGGCATACGTTAAAAGTTTAATAATAGCAGATATTATTACGTTCTAGGGAAGCCCATTTAGAGAGAAATGGTTAAATAGTTTTATAATTGGAAGATTGATTGAGTGCTTGTCATTTAAAATGGACTAATTACTAGCTGCATATGTATAGATAATACATATGTCAGGGACAAGTTGGCATAATTGCAAAGCTAGCATGTGTAATTATGACATGAATGAAACTGTCATAGAATAGGAAACAGTCTGAGTATGTGCATTGTGTTCTAAGTTTCACATAAACTCAACTGGTTTCAATGGGGCAGACAAGTGCAGTAAATCCCTCATCTTAAAACCATTCTTATCTTAAAACCTCCATCTGTAAAGTCTCTCTTCTCTCCCCTCTCGACCATGTCCCCATTGCTGCCATGATTAACGGTCACAAATTTGCATCCATGTGAGACTACGTCAAGGCACTGTTAATGAGCTTCAGAAGACAAAAGACTGATAATGTTTCTGTTGGCAGACTCAAAGTAAGATCCAGCAAAACCAGCAGGAAAAATGCCACCCCTATGCTCCTACCGCCGCCACGTACGCAAAACCTGAAAGCAACTGTGGAAGAAAAAAAAAAGTATAACTGGCTGCTCAAAGTGCCAAGAAAAGTTTGTTAGATTCGCAACATGTCAGGACAGTACATTTTATGACGTTTACAAATTATCTTCTCTGTTCTTGTAAATGCACTCATGTGTGGATTCCTGTAAGAGGTTTTGCATGCCAGTTTGGCACAAAATGACTAAGGTTATGACATAGCATTTTGCACAGTTGAACCAGAGGCTTAAAAGGATTATCCATCAAATATATTTGGATTTGTAATAAAATGTAATTGCAGGGTCATCATTTCAGTTATGCAAATGGAAATGGGTAGACCCCTCAAAATGCAAGTTTAGTGTGTATGAGAGGTTAGCCCACAGTGTTTAGTGGAATGTACTTAAGTTATATTTAAAGGTACTATATTACACAAAATGGGTTCTTGCACTTTAGGCCATTTCATGATGTTGTTACCTCCTCAAAAACATACCCGGAGTTGTGTTTTAGTTCATTCACATATTTTGAGTCTGTTTACATCGCCAGGGGTCACAGTGCTCCGTTCTATCTTGTGATGTCATGAAGCAGGAGTTACCTTTTACCATTTGTTCAGTAGAGATTGGCAATTCTAGGTCTGAAATAAGCCAAATGGTTCCAGAGAAGGTGTATTGAGTTTAAAAACACAGTTCCTGTATTACCACATGACATCACAAGGTGGAACACAGGTGGAGTGTTTTAACTTTGGGAGAACTCAGCCTAAATATGCAGGGTTTGAGTGTTAGACATTTGTGGATGAAACAAAAGGTATGTCCAGGTATGTTTCTGATAAGGAAACAACATTATAATATAGATCAGAAAACAGAGTAATATGACCCCTTTAAGATTAATACAAAATCTTGCCTAGTTATCGCTAGTTTGTATATTTTTATAGATATAGATATAAGATTACAATTTCACTTCCTGGTTGGGCATGGTCAGCAGGTGAGATATAATATGGATTCTTTATTACTTAATTCCTGCAATTTACTTTTTTTTTTATTTTTATTTTTTTTAACCAACTTCTTCACAAACTGCCAATTGACTGATGTAAAACCACAATAAATATCATGCACATGTACTATCCCCAAATTAATTTAAAGACAAGGGGGGGAAAGAAAATCTCCATGTTACCTTTGCCAATTGTCCCAATCCTCCTTGATCCAAGCTGTGTTGTTTCCTGTATGATTTGTGTATAGTGTAAATGACAGTCATGCTGCCAGTGTTATAGGGTAAATAGAAGGACCTGATGGCGACATGGATCAAAGTGTGGCCCAAAATATCTCCAGTACAAGAACAGCACAGAGAAGCACAAGGTCAGAAGACTTCTCAAGAACTAAAGGACCATTTCTACTAATAGGAAATTGTTTATGCAAATTAAGAATGAGCAGTAGTTGGTGGTGGTTCATGGTAACTTTACTGTTTTTAGGTAACAAGTGATTGTGAAGTGTTGATGTTTTGGCAGATCTGTGTTGTCTTTGCCAGGACTACTATAAACAAGAGATTGGCAACCTAAATGGAACTTCCCTGTTAAACAAAAATTTAATGAATTAATCTGGAACAAAAACACATTTATAACTACGAAATTGTTTTAGTTTTTATTAACATAAAACATGATAAAGAAGAGGGTATTAAAAAAATTTTGGGTTACTAAATATCAAGCAAAAGTATGTTTTTGAAGTACAGTAAATAAATATACCAAACTGGGTACTCGTGAATATGTATAGCATTCAATATGAGCAGAGCATAAGAGACCAGAGCACCACTGTCCCTAAAACTTCACAACAATTTTACAAGTAAAACTAATAAAACTCATAAAAAAATAATAAACTATTCAGATTTAGTGCACCCAACAGCCCATATCTTCTGTGAATTTCTGCAGATTTTTTGTTACTTGGCAAGGCCACTGTCAAGGCGCCGGCATTTTCGAAGATTTAGGTGCTTTTTAACCTTGTGAAGCTGCTATTGTGGACAAAATGTATAGCAAAGACAAAGAACCTTAGCTTTGTCATAGCTTTGGACTTTTTAAAGAGAAAAAGTATTTTGGAGATAAATTCTGCAATCCTGAATTACAAAGCGATTTCATGTGCCCGTCTTTTTATGGAATAAACGATCAAAGAATGTACTTTTTTTTTTTCATTTTGTTTCATATCTTCAAGAAAACACCATTGAATGTTGAATTATGTATGCTTGTCTGTTTGTCTCTGTTTGAAATAAATAAATAAACTGAAACTTGGCTGACTGAATTGATTGGGAAGAAAAAATATAGTAAAATAATATGTAAAACACATAAGTCCATACAAGCCACAAATTTATATGATAAAACAGTTTAAGATATTATCATTTCATTTACGATGGAATGGCTAAGGTACAATTTCTCATCCCCCCAGAGAAACTTCTCCTCCGTATTCGACCTACACCCCAATGCCAGAGTCCAGCTCCAGATCTTGAGCTAGATTCGGTCAGGATCAGGTTAGGTGGACTTTTTTTAACCAGCTGTGCATGTTTTGAGATGATGGGGAAAACCAGAGCACCTGGAGAAAACTTACCCATTCACAGAGAGAACCATGCAGAGTTGTTTTCTTTGTCTAATCTCTTGTGTGGATGAAGCATCTCAACATTGTTATTCAGTTTGTTTGTCTCTTTCTGGTGTGGCCTACCAGAAACAAAAATGAAAAGAGACAATTACAAAAACATAATATGCTTAGATGTAATGTAATAGCAATGTACAGTAGTATTATTTTTGCCCTATTAAGATCTATATTTAGACTAGATCTCCTGAAATATAATCATTCTCATCTCAGATTCTGTGACCTGATACCAAATGTCAAACGTTAGTGTTTTGGACATATTTTCCCATTGTCGCCGTGGGAACATGAGGAGAGGTGAATGCTGAGTCGTGCTTTCCTGTTCACCTCTCCTCGCTCCTATGACTACAGACTAATGAAGTACTTTGCATACAGTCAGCAGTGTCTTTGTAAATGCACTATTCAGGCTGAGCCGCTGCGTGCATGGGAATGTGGGGCTTCACCGTTTTGGAGATACCGTTTCCCATCCATCACACAGGGATCAGGTTTCAGAGACATGCTGGCTCGACTCCTGGTCATCGCTTTTCCAGCAGGACTGTTTTCTGTCACTAGATGCTAAATGTCTTGTTTACATGCACCATTTTGTTTAGAATGTATAATGAGAAGTCAGGTCTGTTAAGGTGAAATATACACTGTTATTATTATTTATACTATTATCTATGTTCGTAATAGGTTGCATCTAAATATACAACCATTTAAGTAAGATTATTTCTGTTTGCCAACTATGTATTCTTTAAGTCGTTTACTCAACAAGGATAGAATTGTGCTGAGTGATTTTCATTTCACTATTTTTATATCTACTTAAAATTTTTCATTGAAGTAAATACAAGTTGGATCGTTATTTTCAATACAATATTCATCACAATTCATCACTTAATAATGTCTACACACCTCTGATTTAAAATAAAACTCAATGAACAGAAATTGACTGAGGCTTTTTATTCATATCAAAAACAGACAACCAGACATATAAAGTATACATTAATAAGAACAGAACCAAACCAACCTTTGTAGATATCATTACCAAACATACAATAATACAAACAATAATTAAAAACAACTGAACAAAGGAATAAAACATATTACAAGTCTCTACACTGCTCAAAGTGAAAGTCTATATTGTTGATCCAATGCATATTAGATACACACATTGTAATTGACCAGCTTGTAATGACATATGCTATTGTTGACTTAGTGATAGCATCAAGAACAATAGCAGGTAACAGTGTAAAAGGACCGCATGTCAGCAGACCTGATCTTGTGTGTGTGTTAATAATGAGTCAGATCTGATAGAGTGGCTTTAGTTGGGATAAAAGCTGACTGGGGATCAGATAGTGATAGCTGAGTATGTTTTTTTTCAGAGACCTAGCCAGAGCGCAGTGTGGCTGAGTCAGCAGTTCCTGTGGGAATCAAAGTCTATTTACTCTTTGTAGTCACGCTGTAGTAGTGATCTCTTGTGTACCCTTCAGTGTAAAGAAAACAGGAGGGCACCTTAAAAAAAAAGTTAAATATAACAATTTCATAATTACAACAAATGGACAAGAGAGAAATATTGTAATCTTTGGGCTAACCCCAAATCTGTATAAGGGTTTTGTCAAAGACAATTAGGATGCAAAGTGATGTTGCTATGGATACCAGAAATAGGCCAAAGTTTTGAAGTTGATTTGCATTTCAAACTTCAGTGCCTTCTCTGATAGATGATGCCAGTTGAGCTGAGTCCCGGGTAGAAATGCCCACTGGTACCACTGTACTGGCTTAGTATGGGGCTTGTGTATCCCAGTGCTGAGTGAGTGGGTGAAGAAGAAAGCACTGAGGATGGAGGCGGCACTTGTGGAACCCAATCTGTACTGCCAGAATTGGGCGAGAAGCTACCGAAACTTGACGGCCTATGCGAAATATCTAAACTAGGCAGGCTGATCGGTAAAGGCCTCGTCAAACCATCACCTCCAAGTTCTCCTGCTGTCGTGCTTACCCCAGACATCTCTGTCAAGAAACTGCTGAGGCAAGGGGTAGATGTGGATGCAGTGGGGGAGGGTATTCGGTCAGATGGAGGGGAGAGGGTGAGAGATGAGCTGCCTGGGTGCTTGGGACTGCCTCTGTCACTGTCGCCTGAATCTTGAGCCACAGATCCGCCCTCTGCTCCGGTGAGAGAGTCGGACTTTCTCTTTCTTTTGCGGCGGAAGTTGCCATTGTCAAACATCTTTTCACAGTTGGGGTCAAGTGTCCAGTAGTTTCCTTTGCCTGTAAGATAAAATGTATATGTATAAGTATTGCATGCACTTTAGGGGACCATTAGATCATTATATTCCACAACAATAACATTCCTAATCAAAATATAGATTCATTTATTAAACTGAGGGTAACAAATTCTAAAACATAAAAGGCTTCACAATCTTAAAATATTGTAAGGGATACTAAAATGCAATAATAAAACATAAAAAATTCACCTGGGTCATCTTCATCTCTTGGCACTTTCTTGAAGCAGTCATTGAGCGACAGGTTGTGTCTTATTGAGTTTTGCCATCCTGCTTTGCTTTTGTTGTAAAATGGGAAATTATCAGCCACATACTGATAAATTTGACTTAGTGTTAGTCTTTTATCTGGCGCCCCGTGGATTGCCATAGCGATGAGAGCAGAGTAGGAGTATGGTGGTCTCACTAACTTCATTAAATCTTCTTGTGAGGGCAGGGAGAACCAGCTTAGCTCCCCTCCTGGACCCCCAGCTCCGGCTGGGCCAAGGTATGGCCTCTGCATCCCATAGTGCTGCGGGACAAAGGGAGGCCCTGGGTTCCCCGGCGGTGCGGTGCTGCCCAGGTAAGATGGTGTAGAGTTGTTGAACCAGAGGTAAGGATTCGGAGAGGGGGTGGTGTAGTCACTGAGCTCATAGGACGTTGGGGTGGTGCGCTGAGGGCTGGGCAGTGATGGAGGAGGGTAGTAGCAGTCGCTGTACATGCTGAGCTCTGGAGGCTCCTGTCCCAAAGTAGGGAACTGTGGACCACACCGAGGAGGAGACTGGCCCTGGGACTCAAACGAGGACATTGTAAAATCTCTTCTTTCCTCTTCTTCCTATCTGTGGTAAAAATGTTGCTAAAAAGGAAATCTTTCAATGAACAAATCTTCTGTCCAACTCAAATAAAATAATAAAGTCTTTGCAATCCTTCGGTCACCCTGTCCCACTTGTGTTGAGACTGTTTGCCCTTGCTTAATGTCACAATGACACCTGTCATACCTGCTTTATCTCCCTGGTAACGCCCCTTCCTTCCTCTGATTGGCTGTCTTCAACAGGTGGGATGCAGGTTCCAGGACTTTTGCTCCTGTCAGCTTATTCAGTACCTTCAGGGCTTTTGCTCAGAAAGCTCCCCCACAGTAAAATAATTTTCCACTCAGGTTGCTGGCTAGCATAACATTTTAGTGGAGACATCTGTGTGTTCATCTTAAATCCTATGCAATCCTAATGCAAAGGGATTTTTTTCTCAGCACTTTTCATCATTATCTCATCACATTAAAAGAACAAGTACGTAAATAAATAAATAAACAAACAAACAAATAAATAAATAAATAAATAATAAATAATAATAATAATAATAATAATAATAATAATAATAATAATAATAATAATTAATTATATTATTATTATTATATATTATTATTATTATTATTATTATTATTATTATTATTATTATTATGTGCAGAAAAGTGTAGCTATGAAGGATTGCGACTGGAGAGCTGCGCCTGCGCTGTTGATATATTGCTGATCGGCGCGAAAACACACAACGCAAAATCGGGAACAACACTTTTTTTCCTCAGACTTTTCTTCATTTATTCACAGTAAGTTAAACGTTTCATTTATCATTAAGTTAAACGTTTCATTTATCATTAAGCATGATACATCTAAGTTAGAAAATGATGAAAAAGTTAGTGAACACCAACACTGCTAAACACTATGGCTAAGCTGCAACTTGCTAGTGACTCAGTAAGCTAGGTTTGCGCTAACTTTTGTACTCGAGTTTGTGGATAATCATGTCCATCCATGTGTGAAATTAACACGTGCGATCTTGGCTGATTTTACCGGTTTTAGATGGCCTCTTATTCTTCCTCTTTACCGCCTCCTGAGTCTCCTGAAAACCCCGCCGACAACGTCGCATACTTCCTGGAGTTAAACAATGCCATGGAGCGCATGATCGAAGAGACTGAAGACTTGTCAGGTAAACCCAAAAGATATGTATGTATATATATATAAATATATATGACCGAGGGCTTAAAACTAGTTGCATAGAGAATAAAAACCTTAATGTGGGCTTTATTTACTAGCAAAAACAATTATTATATAATAAGTATAACATATGCTTCTCAGTTAGTCTGATCAGTTAACGGTCACTCGGAGTCAGATCTTACTCTCCACCCGAAAAGTTACGTAGTGCAGCCACACATTTTGAACTTAATTATTAAGTTGGTGGCTCTGTACTACCAAAGAGGACCACAATATTTATCTGAAGTTTGAGTGTAATAGCCTAGTTTTTGGGTGACTGTTATCTGAAATCCAGCAATATCTGATTGGCATTCTGACAATTTGTTAGAAAGTTATGACAATGTTAGAAAATGTGTTTTTTGTTGTTTTTTGTTCATTACTATGGCATTTATTAATATTGAGAGGTGAAAGACAAAATAATAATGCTTTTTGCCATGTCTAATGTTTTTCATTCTCCTGTCTATAGTACGACTCATCTTGTTGGCGTATGACGTGGTTGACATGAGGACCGATCCGGAACTTGGAGCATCGTTAGATATTCTTGAAGATGCTTTCCAGAGATGCAAAACTGCTGTTTTTGGACAATTAAATTAATAAAATGTGGCATGGCTTTGAAAGTTAATTAGATGAAGAGCTGGTTCTAGATTCTATTCTTTATGTAATTTGTTTGTGTTCTTTGAGGCTTTGTTCCTGTACCTCTTTGCAGTTCTGTATTCAGTATAAATGTAAATGTATTAAATTACAAACTTGAAAATTGGGAATCTTGTCATTTTTTATTTAATTGCGCTCATCTCACAGCTAAATTAATTGCATGTTAATTAGTTTATGTTTAACATAGAGGAAAACAATGAAGAATAATTTATTATATTATATATTACAATTTAATTAATTCAATATAATCAACTTGGTTCTTTAATATAAAAGGCATTTTTAAATGTGTAAGGCTACAGCATACCAGATTGTCATTAAAATTAAATGAATCTATAGTATCCCGGGTGTATACATCTCCTTCCTGGCTGCTCTCTGGGGGTATATGCTTTTCAGTAAACCCACTTTCTTCTGCCTATATTTTAGTTAATGTACTTTGTTTATGTGATGAGAATGTTTTTGGCAGTGGGTGAAAAATCAGCTTGGACAGTACAAATATACAGAAAAGTTTAGCAAATTATTATTTCACATTCTCAACATGATTCAAACAGAACTTAAATTTAACTGATTACGGATAGATTAGATTGAATCCGTGTTTGTTTACGAAAATGACCCAAGAGTTCTGCTTCTTCTGCACTGAACTGACAACAATCTACTAGTACACTGTATTCAGATCTTATTCTTATAGTGAAATTAAGCAATCTTATGTCCCAGATGTCTGAAGTGCCATTTTTATTTTCCATCACAAACTCCATGAATATGTTATGGTGTTGCCTAGAATGATCCAGAGTATGGTATTAAACTTATCTATGTCCATGGAGACAAACAGATGGCACTACCAGCTGAAGTTACAGGTCAGATCTGCAGAGAAGTAACCTTCCCTCACAGCAAGATTTCCTTAACAATTAAATGCCTGTAAGTGAATAAATGCAAGATAGAGGAGATGTATTTAATGCCATTCTTCCATTCAAAGCATCCAACATCTCCATGAAGATAAGTTGAATGATTGATTTCTAAATGTCTGTTATATTCTTGTATTTTTCAGATGGAAAATGTAAAGAAAAATGGAGAGGCAACTGAGTATTCTGATTTGGACAAGATTTTGAAAGCAATGGACTCTTTGTCTAAAACCATGGATGACCTTCTACGTATGTTTTTACTTCTAATTCTCTCCACTCTCTGTTGGCATTTATTAAAGCAGTAAACCAGTAAACCCACCTTGAACACTGATTTGCAAATATTCAAAGTCTATGATGTAATACCTCCCCACTCTCCCACCCCAGATCTTCAGCATGATAACATGAGTGGATTACAGTACGCCAACCGTTGTTAATTTGGGCCAAGTGAGTGGTGCCGTGTTGCTTGATGTCAGTCAAACAGCTCCAGTGATGGGCTGATAGTGCCAACTGACACATTTCAAACACATTTCTGCTCATCTGTCATGTCCTGGCTTTTCAAACCATGATGTTGTAACTTATTTTGTGCCAGAGGGGACAGCAACCAGAACATACATTTCCCTGGCTAACCTTTCAAGGCATCAAAGACGAAAAATTGGACTGAAGGTTCAAAGAAAAAAAACAAGGAAGTGTTATTTGAATGACAGAGTGTGATCAAATGTATGCAACGTTATATGTAAAATGTTGCCTTGAGGAAAATATGCCTGGCAGGTGTGTAAACCATTAAGAGACTGAAATATACTAGAGCTGGAGGACAGGGTTGTAAGATAAGGAAGGAATCATTGTTCACTATTAGCAAATTGCAGTGTCTTTTGTGGGGGTGTACTGTGTAACATTTTACGTGGAGGACTGGTAACCATGGAGAGGTTTTTGCTTTGGCTGGAATGGTCCACAGTATAGTATTAAACTTATCTGTTTCTATGTTAACAGGCAAGTGATGCCATCATGACAAGTGTGCAGGCTATTTTTATTTTATTTTTTAAAATAAACTCTACTTGGATAAATGCAAGATATATACCTTTAATGCCATATAGTGGAATTTCTTGTCATGTGATTCTTTTCTTTTGGATTTTAAAAAATACATTATGTTATAAAAAAATGAATAAAAACATTTCAGTAAGTTGGCCATTGTGGATTGTATTGTGATATAGCATTTGTCTCTGTCTGCAGTGCAAAGTAAACTGAAGCTCTGTGACCTCATCATCTGTGTTGGTCGGTCCTGCAGTGTTGCAGCTCTGAAAGTCCAAGATGGCCATAAGCAGCAGCAGTAGTACACATCATAAAGGTAATACAGTTTAGTTTATAAAAACACTTTTAATAGCACAATATGATTTCTGAGAAAGAATTTTAACATGTGACAGTAATTATAAAGGCTTACAGGGAGACTAGGCAGCAGTAAAGTGTGAATGCTCACTTCATTTCATTTTTTGAATGGATGGCAGTATTGAGAACTATTTGTTTATTCATGTAAAATTTACCCATTCTTAGCTTAGCTTAGCATTTGAGCTCACAACCTCTTATAAGAATTATCTAAAAAGTAAATTCACAGATGTTGAAACTGATAATTTCTGTTATACACTAGATCTAGAACTGGCTGACAAAAGTCACACAAACAAAAGTCTGTGTTTTCAAAATATTTGTTTTAACTGCCCCCATGTATTAAATATTATTGAACTATAGAATGTAGCTATCTGTACCCACCCAGCAATATGATAACATGAAAAGTTTTTTTTTAAATGGTTATAATAATACAGAAACAGCTACCCGCCCATATTTTGCTTATTATTAGTTCTTGTTATTGTTGTGGTCCGACTGGGTGCAGGAGGCAACACAGGGGCCGTGTCTCGGAACTCCGGTCCTTGGCATCAATGAGCAGCAGTGGGTGTGGGCATGGTGGGTAATGATCTCTCTCACTCCAGGGAAACTCTACACACAAAAGCACACACACAAAATGACAAGGGCCTAATGACGCAGGACAAGTTTGCAGCAAACATGCCCCTAAGTGAATGTTGAGATGTGGACTTTGGTGCCAGACTCTCTGCTCTTTCTAAACTGCAGAGAAAATGACATTGTCTTAAAGTTTGGTTTTATGTAACGTCACAATATTCCAAACTGCCCATTGTTTGACACTGAGGTTGAGGGCAGGTCAGAGTAATGGTAGAATTAGCCTTTTAACTGTAAAAATGCACAAAATTGACTTGGTTTATGGTTAATATCACGGTAATTAGGGACCTACTGGACCGGTCCACATGAAACACACCTGGCAGGTTTCTCTCCACAAATGATTATTATTTTTCATTATTTATTGCCGAAAGATATCTGCTTGCATTCATGTAGCTTGTTATGATGTTTATGCCATTTTGTAGAACACCCCAGAAGGTTTCGGACCCTCCATCTAAAAACGTATATCGTGCCCCAAGATTATCATGGTGAATTTGTGGATCCAAGTAATTTCCCTTGTGGATTCATAAAGTTTGTCTAAATCTAAACTAAATTTATTTTAATATACAGGGTTCTATTTTATTTAAGATCTGCCCATATAGAGTGATGTAGACCCATGTAAACCTATTCATACCATTTTGTTATGGAGGCCAGTGCCAAGGAAAAAACAATCGCCTTGTTTACGGATCTTAATGTTGTAAATCTTGGCATCCTTCAGCACCATCAAAGTGTAAGGATGCTCTGCTTGGCCTTTGGAACTTTCTCTTACCACAAATGCACCATCCTAGAAATCACAGACAAATGCAAAATTAATATATATATATATATATTTTTTTTTTTATTTATTTATTTTTTCTATTACAGAACAGAAAAACGTTTCTCTGACCTTGTCCACTTTTGTAAGAGCTACCTCTGCCTCCCGCCTGGTCATCACTCCTCCGTACCATCTGGGATCTAAAGCCTGCATTCAAAGAGCCATATTAAGGACTGTTTCTATGTCGAGATGACATTTAAGTTCTGAAGGTTTATGTTGAGGCAAATGTCATGCATATAGCACACCACTAAGCCCATTAAAGGCCCTGCACCTGATTTTCTACATCTTTTACAACTCTGAGACACCAGAGCAGAGTTTGACCATCATTGTAAAGCTAACAAACCAAAACCCTTTATAACTGGATGCGGACAGTACACAACAGACTTATTATGACCTTAAGAGCTGGTTATACTTGTACAATAGATCTGTTCTAGGGCAATATAAATTTTGCTTAAATATGTGGGAAAAATTGGGCACAGGTTCTTTAAGAGTGCTAGATGTGGCCATAGCGTTTAAAACACTGCCATCTGCTGGTAAGCTTGTGGAAATGCAACTTTAATTCCAGCATATATTTTTTATTGGATATTTGTTGTTCTAGGATAGTTCTAATACAGTGTGTTGATATAAAATACTAGTAGTCCTTTACCTCTTCCAAATTTGAACTTTGCGCAGGCAAGGACTGAAGTTCTCTACAATAAAGACAGGTTTACTACATGTTTGTAAAATGGTTTATATATGGAACTAAAAACTTAAAAAGTTAACATACCTTTGTGTTATGAGAGAATAATTTGCTGAGCCATTATTGGTGGAGAAGCTCAAGTCTTTGTGTACACTGCCCTCTTGTGGATTTTAAGGGAGTGACAGAAATGAGACTACTGAGTGGGCTTGCATTAATTACAGGTTTTATAAATTCATGATTACCTGGTCGTTGGCCAAATCTTTGTGATGCCATAGCAGGCTTTGTTTTCCTTTTGGGCTTTTCTGAACTGGGCTTAGTAAGCATTTCTAGACAAGAAAACATAATTTGTTAACATAATATTGTTTTTATAACTTGGGTCATTTTTGTTCATTTATCTTGGATTTGACAAGATATTTCCACTGTACCATGGTAGACATTTTGTTTCGTTTGCATCTTTATCGTCAAGGATTCACCTAGACTCGCATTGTCATATACTTGTTCATCCAGATCCTGAAAAAGAACATGGTTTGTAGAGTTGATTGTCAAAAAATTTATTTTTTCTTTCAGAATATACTGTATTGAGTTTTTAGCTAAATTTACACCATTTACAATAAAAACATCTACAAAAAATATATATACTGTGTAGAATTTGTTTACCATTCACTATAACTTACATTCTTCTCATTGTCCTCTTCCTGTTGAACAACTGCTGCTACAGGAAGAAGTGACATTTAAAGACACCAAACCATGATTAGTGTATATTTATGTTACTACCTGGTCTGTGGTTGCTGTTAAATCTAAAAAGAATAAGACAGAGCTAGAGATTACATACAATAAAATTGCAGCGTTTCACCAGTGTATGTTGCTTACCTTGAACTAGGGCTTGTGTTTGATATGGCTTTTTGTAGCTCTTTAAGTTTTCTGTTGAAATAAGAAAACACACAGGACTCAATAATACTGCACTTTTCAATACTTAATTGTTCATGAAAATATTACTACTTACTGACAATAATAACCAGGGAACACTTGGAGATCACACTCAGACATTTGCTGTCAATAATGTTGTTTTAATTTTAACAAATCACTATTGTGTGGTATATTGTAAGCTTTATACTTACCAAAAAATGTTTTCCAGTTATGTTTAGTTGTACTGCAATATTGTCACAGCCAGACAACTTAAGCTGCATAGAGAGTAGGATTTTTTTTAGTATTTTATACAACAAATTTAAAATAATATCATCGTTAATAATGTACTAGTTGTGAGTTGTTTGTCAGCTTTTGGCTTCTTGGTTCTTCTACACCAGGGGTGTCAAACATAAGGTCCGGGGTCCAGATCCGGCCCTCCAAGACCTTTAATCTGGCCCTCAGCTGATTTTCTACTCAGATATTTTAATTATATTTTCTATTAAAATATTGTTAATTTTCTGTGGTGTTTATCACAGCAGCATCTCCAGTGCCTCTGTACGTGGCCCCTCCCACCAGAGCAGCACAAATGAAGACTTGTCTCTTTCCAAACGCTCTTAAAGGACGATCGTTTTGACTGTTGACCATGACACCTTCATCAGCAAAATGTCAAAAATGAGCAAAGTGGACGCCGAGTGCTGGATTTTCCAAGAAAAATTAACTTATTCCTATTTGCATACAAGTTAATGTTAAAACATTGTGTTGAAATTGCATTTTTCTTAAAGTTTCAGGTTGATCATCATATTATAATATTTTGTAAAAGAAAGATTATAGATAATAGATTTGTGTTTCTCTGCACAAATATTTGAACTTATTGTTATTTTTGGGGTTTATATGCCATGAGCTTTCTGATCCGGCCCCTTTGGATCAAAGTAGGTTGGATACAGCCCCCAGACCAAAATGAGTTTGACACCCCTGTTCTACACTGACCCCCTCCAAACTAGGAATGCGCTGATTCAGCTTTGTCAGTTCCAATACCGATATTTATACTTTGACTTTAAGTGTCTGCTGATACTTGATATTAACCGATACCAGTGTAGGGTCAGGAAAATTACACAAGGGGTCAAATCGTGTTATGCTTTTCTCATTTATCCTACAAATAATTACTGAACAGCTTTGTATGAATAAAAGTTCAAACAGTATGAGACGTTCTAGGCCAAAAGAAGTCTGTAATAGCTCAGTCAGGATATGGGCTGAACCAATATCATGAAACTAATACCAAACACAAATTCAAAAGTCGATCCAGCTTAATTTTTCAGTATTGGTGCTGACATTCAATAACGGTAACTAGGGGTGTGCAAAAATTTTGAAATATCGATATATCGTATTGTTTAATGTGATGATACAGTATCGATATCATGGGCTGTATTGATATATCACCAAGATATATATTTTTGGTATATTTATGAAATTATTTTGTTAGAGAGCCACAGGTTTGTTGTTTATTTGGAGGAAGGAAACTCGTTTATGCAAAACATTTGACATTTTCACTGTTTTGATGATTAAAATGGGTGTGTTTCATACCCATTTTAATCTCCGTCTATGTAAATGCATACAGTACAAATTTTACTCCAGCACTGATCAAACATGTGGTTAACAGAAATGTAGCCTTACCTTTTTCATGTAGTTAGCCAGTGTCTGTGGTTTCCAGCTCATCACTTCATATTTTGAAGGAGGAACACTAGAACTCATTCTAAATGTTTGTTGGTACTCAGAACTGTTGTGTGTTGTATGGTGCTTCTTCGCTTTATCTGTTGTTTCTTGTAATGGGTTGATGCTTTTAGAGTAACCAGTGAAGACTGAAACTTTCAGTGGTTTAATGACAAATAACGTCAGACATGTAAAATTAGCTAAGAGCACACTCTTGAATATGCACTGGTCACTAAAAATAGTTGTTGATTGTTTCCTTTCTGCTAGCTACCACATGCAAGCACACACCAAGATTCTATGATAGCATGCTAATATGTAAGTAGACTTTAAGCGACCTCACTGATACATATCTCTAGTTACAAATGGGTAAATACGTAGCAATCTTTGTCAGATCTTGTTTTCCAGCCTGAGCACGTCCTGTAGGGCCATTGGTATCTCACACCCGGGTGAAAGAGGAGGGCAGCCCAGGCCAAGCATTGATCAATCATCCTCAGATCCCCCCAGAGCCCCAGGCCTCATGAGTGTGAATATTTGAGTCCTCCTGGGGGGTCCTTGTGGGAGATTGCCTCCTCCCACCACAGACTTTTCTCCTCTTCTGATAGAGAAACATTTCATTACACTACCCCCCGTACCCCACACCAGTGTAAAAGCAATGATGGAAGAATACTTTGAAAATGTATTTAGTTGCAGAATACAGAATACCTGCATTAAAATGGATTTCAAAACTAAATCTGTTACATGGTCCATACAGAGTACTATATTCTGAATACACAGAAGACTTTTACATCAAGTTGCATTTAGTAAGCATAGAGTAAAAATGCAACGTAGCCAGTGAAAGGGCTTTGTTTGTTTCATCGTGTTTTGCATTTATGTATTACTAATTGGCAAAGGAAAATCACACATGCACTCACCATGAGCGGCATTTTATATTTTTCTCTCTCTGATATCGAGCCATTTGAAACCTAAATTTTGTGATCAGGTACAACAATGTATTCCTATGACTTTAGGAAAGTAATTGTATTCTGAATACCACCAAATGAAAAAGTACCTGCACCAGAATATAGTTACTCAAAATGTGTATTCTGAATATATATTCTTGGTACATGTATTCAGTTACTTCCCAATACTGTGTAAAGGATGCACTATGGATTTACAGACAGCCAAGAAACTAATCAAAATATTTTTGTTACTGCAGTTGCACACATTTTGGGGATAATAGTACTTTTGGGGGAGGTTTTGAAACATATAATTGTAGCCATGTAATTGTAAGGTAGTTTTAAAATCATAGGAGTACTGTCTCACCTGTGTGTACTTAAAGGCAGGAGTAGAAAGTAACTACCAGTAGGCCTTCTTTATAGATTTGGAGTATTTATGGTAGAGTTTAAAAGACATGTCAATTTAATTAGCTACATTTAAAATCATAAAAGTACAGCAAAAGTCACAATCATCCCAACCCCCTACTGTGTCACCTCTGTCTCTACACCTTTCTGTACTCACAAACATATGTAATTGGCAGCAGTAGTACTTGTACTTGTAACTGTTTATATTTTAGCCACGTAACTGTACTTTTACTTGAGTGCGAAATGTGAGTGCTCTTTCCCCCACTGCTTACAGCCAGTCAAAATTATGTGATTGCTGTTTCACAAAGCTCAGAGAAGAATGGTTCAATAAATACATACTGAGCACAAAGCATCCATGAAATTGATTTGAGAATAGGTTGCGCTGATGAGAAGCTGTGGCAATCCAAAAAAACTGTAGCTTAAACATGTGGTGGAGTTAAGTAAAGTAGTAGTATTTGCCTTAAAATTGTAATGATGCTTGCCCTGACCTTATATATTATTAATATCTCTATACAAATTAAAAATGGTAAATGTAATCTTGACATTTTTATCAAACTGCATGATTTTTTTGTATTTGAAAGCATCCAACAGTAACATTGCACGTTTATGGACCCAGACCCTTACAATAACTGCTGAGGTTAAACTTTTCTGTATAATAATCGCCGATGGAGAGATGTAGGCCTCATCTATTCATCTGAGATTATGTCATCATCAAAATCCACTACATAAACAACAACTTCAACCTCTTTACAAGTAAGTAGTTACAGCACTGAGGCAATAGCATAAACAGCAGACATAAGTGAAGGTTTCCAGTAGGGCAGGTCTTCGTTAAGACACAGCAGGGAATCATGGGAAAAACAGGGCACTTCCACAGGTAAACAGACAAATGGGCAGATTGGTAGGCTATGCTTCGGTCTGTCACAACATTAGATGTTTGTTGAGACTTAGAATTACACTTTCTCTTATTCATCATTTGCTCAGACAATGTAAACAAGCAAAGGACAAATATGCTATCTAATCAGGTAGAATTTGTCCAGCCATTTTTGTAGTTCTCAGTTTTAACAAAATATCAAAGCTTTCCATTATAGCTACCCACTTATTCTACCTTCTTTTACAGTTAAGTTTAAAAAGGAAAATTTGGGTGGCCGCCTCCCCCTTTGCCCCAGGCACAGACCCCCTGATGCAGGTAATATCCATGCCATCACTCATTTAGCCAGGACCCTGGCAGATTTATGACATGCCCAGCTGAGAAGAAGATTTTAGGAGATACAGGGGGTCAGGAAGAAAAGGTACCAGGAGATCACAAGGCGGAGATAGGGACTTTCCAATTCTATTCTAAATGTTATCAATTGTAATTTACGGGCAGGACGTGATGCCCTCTCTGATGTACTTTTTTCATGCTTTTAGTACTTTTTCAATATTGGGTTCTTGGGGAAATCCGAAGGTTATTGGGTCCCACTCCGACAGTGCGAGACAGTATTAAAGTATATGGTAAAGTATAGCCTACTCTTTGTGATATGAGATGATTTAGTAAAGATTATGCAAAATAGGCCTATTAGTTTGTTCAATATTGGTAAGCCTAAACACAAACAAACAAACGTACATACAGTATACAGTTACTTGTTATTTGACACATGGACTATTAAAAAAACAGTAATTGAAAATTAAAATAAAAAAGCATACAAAATCTATTTCAGATAAACAAGTTGTGTGTCAGCTGTTGAATCTGCAAAAAAAATATTTTTTTAAAAATCTCAGTTAAATCCTGACATACCCGTCAACGCGTTTCCCTTTTTACTTTGATGTATTAAGACTCATTTACATTTCCCAGAGAGCTGCAGGGGTCTAGGCTATACAGGATTATCCTTGGGCCAAATAACCAATTTTACCTCAAGACACTTTGTTTATTTATCTTTTAAAGTATTTTTATTCCCTTTGAACAAAGTAAGAATACACATTAACTACAGACTAATAGTGGATCAGCGCTGGATCAACACCTGGGAAGGTGTGAAGAAACGTCGCGTTATGCGTGTAATCCCCATTATAATGTACGCATGGCTTTGTTATTCAAATAGACACCACATGGTTCTGCCTTGATCCCAAACTCATCTGACCACGGTCTATCCACCCTCCCAGAATTAAGTGACACAGTTATCTTCAATGTTTTTTTAAAATATATATTTTATTTGAGTGGCATTCCATAAATTAATATGTAAAGAAAATAATAAAGTGCAAACATTGGACAAGCTTTTGCGTCAAAAAAAAAAAAAAAAAAAAAATCTGCTTCTTTACCCAATACATTTTGTCTTTTTCTTAGAGATTTTTTGTTCAGCTTTTACTTCCCCCAGCTTTAGACGGAATCCAGTTTAAAAAGTTCGTTGTCAAAGAGATGCTATGACTTTTGTCCTCGCTGTCTTCTCCTGAAGCCGTTGCTATCGTGACCGTCCCTCCTGGCGCACACGTGTTTGACCACAACGTGTTCGCACCTGTCACAGTTTACCTGGCAGCACCAGTGGAACTTGCAGTTGCAGCTGCTGACCACCTCCACGCGCCTCTCCTCCACCCCCAAGCCGCACTCATGGCACAGCCTACGACAGCTCTTCGTCTCCCACTGGGAGAGACCATCGCCCTGCGTCAGACACTCGCGGCCCTCCGTACCATATAGCCCCATGCTGCTGTTCCTCCGACAGTAGTCCGGGGAGTCCTCCAGATAGATGAGCTCTGTTGGTGCGATGCTGCGTAACGCGTCCAGGATGGCACCGCGGTTGTCTGCACTGTTACCCGCCCTCACGCGCTTTTTATCAATATCCAACTTTTGCGCCTGGTTGTGCTTGTTTTTCAAATAATTTCCTATGTCTCTGAAGTCTGACAGCTGCATCCAACAGGTTTTGACGCTGCAGCTCTCAGACATCCCGTGACATCTGCAAACGCGCTTCATCGTTGCCTTTACAGCCTGCCAACAAAGAAATAGAACGTTAGTCATTCTTATAAGTTCTATTCTAATATGTAATTTGACAAATAAATCTTTACGCATACCAGACGACCAGCTTCGTTGTTGTGAAGGTTCACAGCGGCCCTGGAGTCTTGGCCTGTCTCTTGCGCGTCCACGTACTGTTTGGAAATTGTTTCACCAAAATCTACGTTGTCACTGCAACCTCCCCATAACCAACCACGACCACCTGCACAATAATATTTTCAAATTATACAGTATTACTATTAAGAATGTATCTCTTGTTATTAACGTATAATTCATGTGCACCAACGGGTAACACAGGCTACAAGATGTGATGTGTCTGTCACGTGACTCACCAATTTTTCCGTTTTTGGAGACGTCACAGCCGCAGTTGTCGAGGTCCCCCAGACTGCAGTTCCTGGTCAAAGTGTACATGACCCCAGCGGCGCTGATAGCATGGACGAAAGACGTTTCTTTTGTGGCTAGAGAGAAGTGAAGATTTATGTTTAAGGACTTGTGTTTTAACCAAGTTTAGCCTAAGTTTTACGGTACAAGTATTTGCATATTTTACAACATTGCATTTGGAATAACTCACCTCGTCTCAATCCCCTCAGCTGAGTCGCGCTATCAGGGCAGTTCCACCTGTCTAACACGAACTGATGCTTGCACTCATTGATGCCATTCTGTGTGCCCACCTGCACACTCATGGCGTATGTCAGAAAAGCCTGTGCAAAAGGCGAAATTATATTAAGTTTGTTTAGTTTAGTCTAAACTGAGAATTTTTAATACTGATGAATAATAATCTCACCTTTGGTCCCGTCATCAAAAAGTTACTTGCCACCCTGAAGAAATTGCACATAGAAGAGTGGTTAGATGCCAGTTTTTTCTTTTTCTTTTTTTCTTTTCTTTTCTTTTCTTTCTTTTTTTTTTTTTTTTTACATTAAGTTAAAACATACATTCAGTAAAGCCCTTACCAAGCGTGTGCGGGACACAGTCTGTGCAAAAGCGGCAGGAACCAGAACAGAAAACGCACCATTCTTACAGCAGTACCGTTACTCCGCATTGATCAGCCTCAGTTGTTGGAACTTTCTCTTATTTAAACGCAGAGCAAACAATCGTTTTGAGCAGAGAAGCTGATTGGGTGACCGATTTTGGAAACGCCTTATGCGCACTTCAAAGCTGGTATTAGGGGAGGTTTGTTGCAAGGCTCTGTAACACCCCGGTGCCAATATACAAATAGAAAGGAATTTAACATATTTTAGAACGACACAAGACGTATATTTTATAACATACATTTATTTAAAAAATAATAGAAATAAATACTATTTACAGTCCTTCCGTGATTAGGATCAATCCAAAATCGTCGTTTTACATCCTCTAAATGTATCTTAATTCATCAAATAATCAGTCTTTTTTCTCTATAAGGCAATATACAAATAATACAATATAATATAAAGTGCAATAGATGCAGGGAGGTGAGCATAAAAGATATTTACATCAGCAAAAAGTCAGTCTTTCAGGGACGGCGCAGATGCTTGCGCTTGGATTTGCTCTGTGGTTTCCTCCCGTGTTTACGCGCACAGTAATATTTAGTTACAACTTGTGTACACCTTTGACACTTGACTGTGCAGCACCAGTGGAATTTACAGTTGCAGCTGCTGACCACCTCGATGCGCTTCTCCACCACTCTCAGGCCACAGTCATAGCACAGTCTGCGGCAGCTCTTTTTCTCCCATGCGTTCTTTCCACTCTTCACACACTCCCGGCCCTCGGTGCCCTGGAATCCCAGACTCTGGTTCTGGACGCAGTAATCAGGAGAATCCTCCAGGAAGATGAGCTCTGTTTTGGCGATGCCCCCCAGAGTGAGCGCCCGAGCTCCGCGATGAACCGCACTGTTTCCAACTCTCGCAGGCTTCTTGTCCATCTCCAGTTTCTTGGCCTGCTCGTGCTTCTGCTTCAGGTAATTACCGACCTCTCTGAAATCGGCCAGTTGCATCCAGCAAGTTTGAATACTACAACTTCCAGAGACGCCGTGGCACTTACAAGCTTTCCTCATTGTGGCCTTAATTGCCTGTTAAAGAAAATAAATAAATAAATAAATAAAAACGCTATTAGCGCCCTCCGGCTTCTTTGTATACACACAGTGCGATGTAACGATGTTTTAGCTAAAAGTAAGTAAGATTAAAATATTTTACCAGTCTGCCTGCCTCGTTGTTGTGCAAGTTGACAGCTGCGCGTGAATCATGCCCATCTTCCAGTGCGTCTACAAACTGTTTAGAAATCTTCTCTCCAAACTCCACATTGTCACTGCATCCTCCCCATATCCACCCTTTGCCTCCTGACAATGAAAATGTATAAATGTTTAGTTTGCCATTGAATACGACTCATTAAATTTAAATTAACTGAAATATACCTGCTTGCCCGATCCTTGAATCATCGCAGCCGCAGTTGTCAAAGTCTCCCATGCTGCAGTTCTTGGTCAGGGTGTACATGACTCCAGCTGCGCTGATGGCGTGGACAAATGATGTCTCCTTCGTCGCTAAAATTGATAACAGCTATTTTCAGTGTATTTTCAAACTACAAACACGTAACAGTTTATGATCAGCAGGCTTAAAAATGTGCCTAAAACATGCGTAAACGTGCGCAACAAGAGACCCACCCTCCTCAGGTCATACTTTTAAATAAGTAAAGTGTATTTAAGGTTGTCTACATATTATACCTGAGCGGAGGCCGTTGTGTGTAGATAACTGCAGCGTACTTTCTGGGCAATTCCACCTATCCAAAGCAAACTGGTGCTTGCACTCTTTGATACCGCTTTGTGCGCCAGATTGCACACTGCTTGCGTAGGTCAAGAACGCCTTTGGTCCAGTCATAAGAAAGTTATTCACCGTCCTATAACAAACAGGGAAATTGAACAAATAAAGTTACTAAGTTGCATGAGTTTATGAGTTAATGCATACGTCGTTCTTGAATTTAAAGTACATACCAGGTGGACGCGCAATGAAAATGACAGCTCATTTGCAAGAGAACCGTGAAAACAAACAATAATCCCATATCTACAAAATCCTAAATGGTCCGCTAGAGTAATCCAGATGTTTATACCAAGAGAGGCTGGGTGAGTTTGTGACTGTGGCGCGCGCAGATGATATTTATATGGGCTTGCCCCTTTGATTGACAGGTGTGTCCTGCAGGTAGCGTTTCGCTGTGAAAAGCGTCAACGAAGGTCCTGATAGCCTTGTCCTAGAGACAAATAGGAGCCGTAGGTGCATAAGTGCACTTCAAAGACGTGACGCAGACAGTAACTGCCCCTTATTATTCCCCTGTCTTTCCCAGGCTCATCCCATCAGCCACTTCCTCCAAATAAAGTTAAATAAATACATAAATAAAAACAACAACAACAAACAAACAAACAAAAACATATTGGCCCGTAAACATATTAATATATCATAAATGTAAATTATGCGTTTCTGTTATGCATTTTGAAAAAAAGTAAAGTGTCTGAGCTTAGTGCATTGTTTAAAAACATGTAGCCAAGGCCTTACGCCACAAAGTTTTCTTGGAACCAATATCACACGCCCATAGAGAAATGTCCCGTTGGGTCCGTTGTGAATGTAGAAGCCTTTGGGAAATGGCACCAGTGTCCTATGGGGCTCAGCAGTGAGTACAAAGCCATAAAGTCTTTCAGGAGCTGCCTGCATATAGTCATGTAAATACTCCCTCACACGTCGGTGGCTTTGGCGAAGCTGTGATAATAGGATAATAGATGTTTCCTTGGGAAACGACACGGTGTGAAAACAGTCTGGAATTTACAAGAGCATAAGCAAATAGACATTTAATGGTGAATAAAACCATATGACATTTGCCATTGTGCTTGCGGTTTATATCATTTATTTACCATTTATTTGATTGATTGTTTGGTTGTAAAATACGCATTTTTTTGAAAGGTTTAACTAACCACTAACGCAAACATCACATTTATGTTATCATTCCTCTACCGAACAAAAAATATGATGCGAAAGTAGTTAGTCATTTAGAAACGATCATAGTTTCCCCAAGTCACATATACATGCCAAATCCCCGTAAGCCACTCAAATAGATAACAACAGCCATTCACTGAGGGCCGTGCTCAATGGTCTTAGGATGGGCGAAGTGCTCAACACAATGACACAGGCCAAGTGCTGGAGAGGATAATCCCCACTAATTAGATATGAGCCATATTCATTATGTTTATGACTGAAACTTAGAACCATAACACCTAATTAGGAAATAACACACAACTATTACAAATCCACATGAAGACCGCTGTTAAACCGCTGTAGAGGCGGGTTCGAGCAGGTAATGCGCTGCAAACACTTCAACTGGGCGGGCTTTACGTGATGGTTAGGTTAATTACAACATCGAAACTATGCCATCGTTATATGAATCAATTCTGACCAGTAATGCAAGTAGAATTGTAAGTAACTGTTTATTGTTCATATTGCTAAAGATGATTATTATTACCTTCCTGATGGTCAAAATTGGGGTTACAAAAACAAATGGAGAAATGTTCATTCTTTTAGTTTGTGGCGTTATAGACGCAAAAGAGACATTATGTCGCGCACAAGGCGTTAATAGAAGATTTATGACAGCTCCAGGTGTGATAAATGGAACAATAAAGGATCAGGAGGTGATAGGCTTCACAGGCCGTGGGGAGACACGTAGGAACAGCGACGCCAATGCGTCAGATTAGACAGGGAGGTGCGGGGTCTTTACAGCCTAATGCAGACTGTCATTATGGGATCATTATGATACGTGCCTGCAAAGTACCCAATCTCTATCACATTATTACATCTTATGTAGGGTAAACTGCGTGGACCTTTATTTCAATGTCCTCTTAGTAGGTATTATGGAATAATAGGTCAACTAGGCCCACTAAAAAATAAAAAAAGATTGATGTGTCATTCTCCAATTTTCCATCTAAATCAATATATTAGCATGACAATACTGGGAATAATACTCATTTAGCCTTCTGATAGCACTCTATTGTGTATGATGGTGCATGTGGTGCATGGACATCTTCTGGTAGACATGTTAGTACATCTAGATACATTCACCTGCATACTTATCTTGAATGATTTTGTTTAGATTTAGACCTGGTTCATTCTGGGCTCAGCTCTGGTCTATAGCACTATTGGTACTTGGAAAGGCAAACATATTTGAAAAGTGGATGTTAAACTTATGGTTAATCACATTTGTCTGTTTTATAACTTATTTCATGTTGAGATTTTGCACGGTTTTAATTGAGATTTACAAATTTTGGTGATAATCAGTCCTGCCAGTTTCAGTGTATTCTATTATAATTATAATTGCAATTATAATGATGTATTAGTCTTATATAGCTCTTTTACTGTTGCTCAAAGACAGTTAACAATTTTGTGTGTTATTCATTCCATACACAGCTGCCCTGGGATAGATTGACGGAAATGAGACAGCCAATGTGTGCCATCGCCAACTCTGCCCACTACCAATCACTCACGTACACACCACACTCATACTAGCCAAGGTGGGTAAAGTGTCTTTCTTGCCTAAAGGCTCAACAACTGTCTGCACTAGATCTCCATCTCATAAAAAGCTGGCACGCATCTTTACCAGTCTTGTAGAATATGAGGTGAAATTTTAGATATGAATTTATATTATAAGTTAGAATTTTCATATTGTCTTCGTTCAGATATTTGTGACTATTGTGGTTGTAACAGACAGAAACAAATATCCAAAATATCCACATCTTCATATTTATTTGACAAAGAAAAGTAAAAAGTTGATTAAGAAAACATCCCTTTGATTATCCAATTTTCTCTTCAATGTAAGCCTGGATGCCTGTCTTTTGCTCTGCGCTACAACTCTACACCACTCCCTAGTTTGGCAATACTGGAGAACATTGGCTATACAGTAACAAAAGCAAGCACCCAGGCAGTACATTCCTCTCTCCCTTCCAGTAAGAGAGCCCCCTGGTAGGATGCCATATACCCTTATAACACCCTAGGGAGCTCAGAGCACCCATTTACATAGACAAACAACATATTCAAATACTGTTATGATCAAAACAAAGTGCTTTTTGCGGTGGCATCTTTCTTCTTTTCTTCCTGTGCTCACAAGTCAAGGTGTAGCATCGCCTTTCCTCTCCTGCTCGATGGCTAAAAAACAGGAAAACATTGCAAGTCAGCATGTTTACTGGAGATTTGTTATTTTTTCAAGTGTGTGCTGATATTGCAGTTATCTTCCCCTCTGTGGCTCCTTTTGATTGACACGTTACAGCGTTGGACATGGCCGACTGTGTTTTGACACACAGACATGATGGACCCAGATGGGAGACTCACTTTCTTTGGTGGGCAGGGGGTTTTTCTCTTTCGTCTCCGTCTTCTTCAGCTTTGTCTTGTCAAAACTAGCGATTTCTGCCATGTTGGGCTTGTCAGACATCTTGGCTGCAAAAGACGGAGCAAAACACTTGAGCTCGCAACTTTGACCTTTCCTGTCATTCATAATACAATCGTAAACACTCAGATTAGCATTCACCCCTACTGCAATAACTGTTATATATAGCAACAAATAGCTCGGGTTTATTTTGAACACCTGATTTTATGCTGGTAGTTGTATTGCTTGTGGTTCTCTGGAGGGGGTGTGGCATTTCCCTGAATGCGCTGTTTTGAAGACAAATTTCTGCTTTATTTTGAAACAGATACATAAAGATCTATTCTAACGTTGTATCAAGCTTCCGTTAAAAGACCAATTGCTGTACAGTGTTACCAGATTGCAGAGGGAGTGGCTGTACACTGCAGACGCGTCCAGTACATGTGAATGGTGGCACGTGCTGTCTTCTCCCATCCAGAACGCATGACTCCAGCATGTGCCTATTTTTACCTTGCGTTTCTTTGTCTGTGGCTTCCCCTGTTTGCGGCCTGTGTCTTTGTTCCCTTTTCTCTTTCCATCCACCTTTGAGCTGTTCGAATGCAGGTTCTCCTCTGCAGGGTTTCCTCTATACTGCAGTGTATTCCTGACCCAGCCTTGGGAATAGGACTAATCTTCCTTGGAACAGCATGGCCGGTCACGCCTCTTTGCAACCACTGCTCTGTCTGCCAGTGTGTGGAAATGTGCTAAAGCCAACTAGCCTGCAGCTAGTCATTTGCAACCCAAGCTACTGTAAAATCAGCACCGTGGATTTGAATAGGACCTGATAGAATTGGTTTAGACACAGTTGGCAGGCAGCTTGAATATCTGAAACGAGGTGCAGTGATTTTTTTTTCCTGATGAGATTACAAATGAAGCCTGTAAGCATCACTCTTAAACACAACCCCGATAACGGCTTTTAAAAGGCTTTCTTAGCTTAATCATCCGAACATTCAGCCCTATTGTTTATTTATGGTCACCGTTTACCACCATCACCCCTTCATTCATCTCTCCTCCACCACGAGCTGCCACACCCCACTCATTCCTTTGTCTGCCTTCTTGTGAATAAAAAAATCCAATGAAGCTAACAACTACAGCAGGCATACAAGAGAACATGGATGATTTTTGCTTACCGGTTTTTGAAATAGCAGTGGGCTGAACGCACCAGCAGATTGAGCGAGGAGGGTAGAGAGATAGAGATAGCGAACAGGGAAGCAGTGAGTGTGCCAGTGTATCCAGGGCTCGGTATAAGAGGGAGGGTGAAGATACACACACAGGAGAGAGAGAGAGAGAGAGAGATGGAAGATGAGAGAGAGAGGGGGAAAATGACTATAAGCTTGGTCAGCCTCCCATTTTTATCATCAATATTAATGTTGAGCCAGCTTAACCCACCCCACGAGGAAACAGCTGTGCCTCAGAATCTTATCCGAGATTGATTATAATAAATACCGTAGATGATGCAGTGTTTTTGCTGCGTAGGTCTGGAGTGGATTTGCGATGGAGCAGGCATATGTTTTCACCCACATTTTTTACCAAACAGACAAAATGTCGTGCCCCGTAGCTGAATATATGAACTATTCAAAACCATTGCTAATGTAAAATAAATAAATTATGATGGATGATGGTAGGTATTGCACTGAACACAAGCAATCACGGTGACTAATGGCTGATTCACCAAGGCTGTGTGAGAAACTCAAGAGGACAGATTATGTGTTTGCCAGTTTTTATTTTTACAATACACACTAAATCATCAATACCCCTAAAGGAAATTTTAATATAGCTTTAATATAAGTCCTATATTACACAAAACTGACTGAGCTTTGGGCCATGTTAGAATGTTGTTACCTCCTGAAAAACATACCTGGAGTTGTGTTTTGTTTCATTCACACTTGTTTGAGTAATCTTTTATGATCAAAGCTCATTATCCTCTACTCTGTGATGTCATGAAGCAGTAGTTTTCAAAATACCATCTACATTTAACCATTTGTTTGGTAGAGATTGGCAATTCCCAGGCTGAAATTATTAAAATGATTCTACTGAAAAAGGTGTGTGGAGTTTAAAAACATAGTGGAGCACCTCCTGTATTACCACATGACATCACAGAAAGAACCTTTACTGTTTCAGTAAAGAACTGGGCCTAAATATGCAGGCTTGTGTGTTAAACATGTGTGAATGAAACAAAACACAACTCCAGGTATGTTTGTATGAGGAAACAACATTGTAACATAGATCAGAAATATAATAATATGGGCCCTTTAATTAAACCACATTCTAAATTAACATTGACAACAGAAAGAATATAAATCAGAACAAAAGAGTTCACAAATCTTATCGAACCATGTTCTAAAGATGTCATATAAGTGACACTGATACTAGTGTCACTTATATGATGGTTGCCCTTATGATAGCTTTGAAATGTTTTGCTATAAAATGTGTAAACATTTTCATGAAGCTGTAAATTGTCAGACTAAAAGACCTGGTTGTTTTTAGCAAATTCTTATGATTGTCTAAATGTAGGCCTATGTCAATGTTTTGATTGATCTATATTTGCCAGGACTCCCTTGAAAAAGAGATATAGTTATTGCAATGGGACTTTTCTAGTTTACTTTCAAAAAGGCTTATGTCAATGGTTCTTTGCCTCAACCCCAAGTCATGTAATAGTGATTATGTCTGCGATATATGATTATGTGAATATATTTTCTTGTTGTAATCATACACAATATACTCTTTATTTTCAATTTAATCCAAATCATATTTTATTTAAATATATTTTATATTAACATACTTGTGTAGCCTTCCATGGTTGGGAAACACCAGCTTATGTCACTGTCATAACAAAGTCATTATGTATTTAACTTCATTGCTACTGACATCATATCTCAACTCTCACTTTTAATCCATCCACTCAGAGATCCAGTTACTACCCTGATGCCAACCACTGGAACTGTTATTTAAGACCAATGAATCACCATCTCTGTACGCTTGTGACCTCAGCCGATAACACAGAGGGCATAACAAGCTGTGTGGTGTCAGCTCGTGTTACTGTATGACATAAGCTGCACTGTGAATGACTCTAGTGTTTTTACTGGTAGGAGCCGCATCATTATGAGGTCACTGTTACTGTGGGGGGCTCTGAAAGGAGGTAGCAGCAACACCTAGTGGCAAAACTCAGCAATTACATCCTAAAAGTTTTGTACTGAAGGTGCAACGTGATGACTGCAGAGGCGGGTGAAGGAAGTGTTATGACAAAAATGCAAGTAAACCAAGCAAAAGGTGGCCACCCTAGTTTAAAAACAAACTGAACAGAAAAATGTTAAAACAAAGTATACTTCAAGTAGTATATTTATAACAGTAAATCACAATTAGTCCTTTTTTGATCAACAGAGGCTTCAAAATATTATATAAATATGAATTGCTTGCCCACCTTATCAGTGGAAAAGGAAAATGCTTTAGAGGGCCCATATTACAGTATTTTCTACACTTGTTATAATGTTTCTTTATCAAAAACATACCTGGAGTTGTGTTTTATTCCATTCACACATGTTTAAAACTGCATTGCACAACATTTTTGGTGGAGGGTCTATCATCTGCTTGTTTTCATGGAGATGTTATTGCTTTGTGTAGAATGTTCGTTGATACAGATTAATCCTATCTATCTCAAGTGAGACAACTATAGGCTACATTACAGGTCAGATCTGTGAAGCGGTGACTCTATTCACAGAGAATTATTGTATTTTTGAGCAATAGAACCACCCATAATGAATAAAAGCTAGATAAATGTGTTAAATGTCATACCATGGAACATTCCAGGAAAAGTAATAACATCTCCATGGGAGTGATGGATCCTCCACCAGAAAAGTTGTGCAATGCACCTTTAACACAAACCCTGCATATTTAGGCTGTTCTTCTCTCATATAGAAAACACTCTGTTTCACCTTATGATGTCATGTAGTAATACAGGAAGTACTCCACTGTGTTTTTAAACTCCATGCACCTTCACTAGAATAATTTGGATGATTTCAGCTTTGGAAATGTCAATCTCTACTGAACTAAAGGTCAAAGGTAGAGGTTAACTTGAAAACTACCACTTCATGACATCAGAAGGTGGAACAGAGCATTTTGAGCTTTAGAGATGTGTACATATAATATATATATATATATATATATATATATATATATAATATGTACACATGTAGACTAATAATAAAGGGTTACTCAAACATGTGTGAATGAAACAAAACACGACTCCAGGTGTGCTCTTGAGGAAGTAACTCAAGTAACTTGGTAAAAAAAAACAAAACCTAAAACAACAAAAAAAACTAAAAAAAAAACTCAAGAGTTGCTTTTGTGATTTTGTGTAATATAGGACCTTTAAGTGATAATATCTCATTGAAAGAGTTGCAAAGTGCATCTTTAATTTATGTGTCTAAGGGTCTAAGGTACTTTTAGAGTTTGCACCTCTAATCCATGGATTTTATTTGTACTTGCCTGAAGTAAAAATGAAATGATTAATTTTCCAATCCAGTTACAAGTTTTAACAAACAAATCCTGTATAAGCCTTTACCTTATGCTTTATTAACCATTGACCTGTTTGTTTTTTAATGAGAAGAAACAGTATTTGACCTTCTCTGGATCCACCCACCTCCTCCTATTAACCTTTCCATGTGAAATGTTAGCAGATGTGAGGCCTGAAGTTTGGATGTGCATTGATAAAGGTTAGAGCAAACTGTGAACTCCACCTGTCAGAGCATTTTGACATTGTGAATTGCTGCCTAGACATAAACAGACATTGTAGAATAGATCAACCACAAACCTTTGCCATGTGACTTAGGTTTCAGCTTCCTGTTATAAGCACCATTTTGAGGAGTTTTCACTACTCAGAACATATTGCTTTGATTTCACATTACTGAAATTCAATGGATTTCATATATTATTGATGATTATCTGAAGAGGACACTTGATGGCAGCACTAGACTGTCTGTAATATAGAGGCTGCATGGCATTGGTTTGGTAGCAGTTCTTCTGTATCCACTAGGGGGGGCTCCAGCATAGCCTTTGAGAGATACAGTTAATCTTTGTAACCAGCACACCAGCTTGTGGAGGCTTTAACTGCATATGTCAAAATTTGCAATCCAAAACAATGCACTTTATTTCCAAGCAATAAAAATTAGCATTACTGATTCAAAATGTATTACGTGATGTAGAAACACATAGCGACAACATTAAAATTAGCCCAACTGATATTTTTATCAGAAAGTCATTTTTGTTAGCAGTGTCTGTAGTGTCTTTCAGCAAAATGTATTTATGTATATTTAGTAAAAAGATTGCATTATAATTGAAAAAGTTCAAAACTTCCATGGTTTAATTTCAAAGTGCACTTTTCTGGTTTGGAGTTGCTATGCTTATCTCAGTGATGTTAATGTTTGTCTAGAAGCAGAGGGCCGATCGAGGGCCACAGACTGGTGCTCATCACAGTCAATAATTGAAATATGTGCATGTTTAACACATTAGAATCAGCCTTTATTCAAGATAAGATCGTCAAAACCACACTAAATATTAAATATTCGCTTTATCAAGGTACATTAAAAAAAAAAACTTGCAATAAAAAGTTAACTTTTTCATTGATGCAAGGTCATTTGCTCCAATTCTCCTGGAAGCCTGAGGGCCAAGAAAAAAATGTCTGAGGGCCGCATTTGGCCCACGAGTTTGGACATGCCTGGTCTAGATGCTCCATCATATGATATTAAATTTACCAGTCTCCATGGAAACATTCAGGTCATGTTGCCAAGTCAAGTTACAAGTCATCTGTAGAGAGGCGAACCCGCTTACAAGTAGTAGTCGTTTGTTTATTTTAAATGATTTTTAAATACATTTTTCAACAAAGAAAAAAAATGAAAATGAATAAATATATAAGTTTAAAGCTACCGTCCATGGGGAGTGGGGATCAGTTTTCACATTTGCCATCTACTGGTAAAAAAGGAAAAAAAAAAAGTATAAACTTATGGATGATAGCTTTAATGCCATACAGTGGAACATTCCAGGCAATGCAATAACACAATAAAAAGCAAACTACTCACCCTTCACCAGAAAGGTTACATTGTGCATCTTTAATGATTTAATCACTGGCAGAATAAAATTAGGGATTAACCTTCCCTAAATATTTTAGGCAGCCTATACTTTCCATTTCATACTGGTAAGATGCCTACAGTGTTTTTTAGAAAGAATAGATACAGAATAGTCAACTTGCACACAACCCTTAA